GTCACCACGTCTCTTCTTTTTAATGGGATATTTTGGAAAAAAAATAAAGATCCAGGGGTTTTTGGCGGCTCGGAGCATACCCGAGCCGCAAAATTTAAAATTGGCTGGATTAACGCAGAGCGCAGGCAGGCAGGTTTTCACTGAAAAGCATAAAAATGGCCCTTTTCTCCTGCCCTCCGTCTGTCCCCACCGCCGCGGGTGGGGGGTCTTCCCCGTGTCCCCGCGGCGAGGGGGTCCGCTTTGTGCCCCCCCCCTTCCCCACGCCAGGTCTCAGGGGAAGCGTCCCCCCCTCCTCCCGTCTCACCACGTCTCTTTTCTTTTTAATGGGATATTTCGGAAAGAAAATAAAGATCCAGGTGTTTTTGGCGGCTCGGAGGATACCCGAGCCGCAAAACTTAAAGTTGGCTGGATTAACGCAGAGCGCAGGCAGGCAGGTTTTCACTGAAAAGCATAAAAATGGCCCTTTTCTCCATCCTTTTCTCCATCCCGCCCCCCCCTCACACCTACCTGGGGATGCGAGGGGGGCTCTGCGGCATCTCCCCCCTTCCCGGCCGCAGCCTTCCACTGCGGCTCCACCAGCCTCCCGTCTCATTTCTTTTCCTCGTAGGTGGAGAGCCGTGACTCAGTGGTGAATCTTGGTTTCAGGAGATCATACAATACTTGGCTATTCAGTTTCAACAAAGCAGAAAAAAAAAAACCATTGGGAATTTCCCTTCTCTTTGCCATCGTGAACACTGGGGATAGTGGTAAATCCTGAGTTTGGAAAAGCTGACTTACATCCAAAGGTCAATCTTAGACCAAGACTTTGGAACTGTGCCGATTTTTTAAAAATCTTCACACACAGAGAAAATGTAATTCTGCATTTTTCTTGGAAAGTTTGCCTTGCAAGATTGAATGTTTCAGGCCTCATTAATCACCGGAGTGTGGCCACTCAGAGGTAACATTTAGCAGGGGGTTTGTCAGCACATAATAAAAATCTTTCGGGCAATAAGCAAAAGACAAGAGGTGACCCTGGAAGGGTAGCGGGGTTGCTTTGTGGGATGGCACTGCAGTGGTGGATCTTAGATGGGTTTGGTTTCTCCTGCCTGACCATTTTTGATAGGGAAACCGGGGAATGTTGCTCCTGCAGCACTAGACCTTCTGCCGTGGTGTTATTCCTGCCGTATGAAGATGTGCAGCAGCACGGGCAGCGCGGTGAGCGACTGGGAAGAGATGCAGAGAGACTGAACGCCCAGGTGGAGCATGAGGGATCTTTGATCTCTCCTCAGATGGGTCAGCACAAAAGCTGCCCTTCATCCTCCCTGCATTCCTCCAGTCCACATGTCCGTCCTGCCTGGCGACGACGGGGAAAATTTAAGGATGCTTCAGGTTTGCTTTCCTTTGCCTGATGCTCGGGCAGCTGGGGAAGCAGACACGGCTGGTGATGCTGAGCTCTCCTGTCCCCTGCAGGGACACTCTGGGGTGCCCAACCCACCGGAGGGGTGTTAGGGCAGGTCAGGACTGAGTTATTTAAAATAATGGAGCAATGTGGCAAAAGGAAGAGGCGAGGGCTGCCCCGGCGTGGGAGAAGGATCTGGTCCTGCCTTTGGTTTCTCTGAGGCTGGTCCCCTCGCAGCGGGCAGCGGTCCCTGCCTGCACCCTGCAGCCTCCCTGCCTGCACCCAGCAGTAACCCAGATGCCAAAGAAATGAGTCTTCCCAGGCCTCTGCAGCGTTTGTTGGGTTTGTTTTTTTATTTTTTTCTTCCTTGAGTTTCTACCAGCCTCTGCTGGAGCGTGTGGCAGCACGTCGTGTTGTGAACCGACGGGAAATAAGCTGCCTTTTTCCATGCTCTTGGCTGGGAAACTCTGCAGCTTTTGAGCTGTATAGGTGATAATCTAGGGATGGCTCATTAGGCAGGACTTGTCATCAGATGTTACCCGTTTGCAATTCATCATCCAAAATGTTCACTCTGACATAATACATAGAGCACTGATCCTAACCCTTCAGGCAGCCAAATAGCACCAACATCTTTAGTGTTTTCTAGAAATCATTCTTTTATTTTCAGTTCTCTCTGGTTATATTTACCTCTACCTGCGTCTTTTTCCAAACCAAACGAAGAAACCCTTTGGCTGATGAACTGTACTTCCTAAGGTGATGTTCTGCTGGCTGAGAGGCAGCAGCTCTGTCGGTACAGTCTGCAGAGCACAGGCTTTGGACAGAGAGTATAGGCAGAGGAAATTTTCATGAAATTTAATTTATTTCAGTGCCAAATTAACATCAGTACTTTTATCACCACAATTGCACGTCCTGATACCTGCAGTAGCACCAGCAAAGGCTTCCTAACCCCGGTCTCCTGCAGCCCTTGGTTCCAGCGAGAAAAGATTGTAGTCATCAAAACAAAGGGGAACCATTTTCTCTCCTGGGAACAGATCACTAAGTTCCCATAAGGCAAAACAAAATTATGCAACGAGGCAAAAGAGAACGTCCTGGGCATGTGGAGTCTTGCTGGCTGCTCTCGGCGCTCGCATTCCACAGCAGCACGAAATGGAGAAAGGCCTCGCACCCGCGCGTGCGAAACCCCCAGCTCTGCGGCAGGAAAAAGGGCACTGAGCACCCCCCACCCCACCCCAAATCCACCTCTGCTTCTCAAAAACTGCTTGCGACCCACAGAACCCTCGCCAGATACTAGCCAGGACAATTCGAGAAATATCATTGAGGGGAGCAAGCTGTTTCTTTTCATGGTATGCATGGCAGAGCATGGGGAAATGGAGAATGCAACAGAACTGTTTTATAAAGTGACTGTGGCTGCTAAAGACTTCCTTCAAGTAGCACCAGTTAAGAGGCAAGTGCTGGGGATAGACCCAGTATAACATTTTTCAATGACCAGACCTCAAACTACTCCACTGAAGACAAGTGACCTTATAGTCAGGGGCTGAACTTCATCCAAAGCATTTATAAGAGGAAGGATTGAGTTTTTTAATCCTGTTGCATTCTTCTAGGCACAAAGAGAAACAAGCAAGATTCCTCTACATTATTAGATAAAAATATACCTTTTCAGTGAAATAGAGCTGTCTTGGCCTTTCTGGCAACGCCTCTGGTCCTTTCCATCCATCTCCAGACTGCTGCTGTACTGCTCAGCTCCTCTCTTGCTTAAGACTCCCAAGTGAAACCATACATGGTCTCAGTATCCTTCTGTACAGAAGCATAAAATTATGCTATACTTCTGCAATTTTATTTAGATACACTTATATACACACACACACACTCCCACTGATAGGTTACTTATGGGTGTGAGTAAATTCAGAACAAGCCCTGTTCTAATAGCGGAATATGAATTTCTTTGCTGTGCTACCATATAAAATTTTAGACTGAATCCCAAGAGTTTGGTTTTTTTTTTAAGTGTGAGAAGCTGTTCTTTCCAGACTAAATTAAAAAAGTTCCAAAACAGTGAACAGCTTAAACTCTTTGGGGCCTTAGCACTACTATAATGAGGACTCTCTTGTTCCCTATCAATGCTGCTCCAATCCTCTTAAAAGAAGAATCCCAACTGGATATTAGGCTGGCTCAGACACTTTTATAGCTACAGGTCATTTCTTTGCAGCTGACACAGCTCATGGTTGGATTCAGAACACCTGGTATGATAGGGATAAAAGCTGGTGGCTGCAGTGAGCAGAGGAAAGAGGGGCAGGAGGGTCTTGGTCCTGGGCAGGAGGGTCTTGGTCCTGGGCAGGAGGTGGCTGCGGGCAGAAGAGTTTACTCTGGTAGGAGGAGGAGGTGGGTGAGACCTCTCTGCTGCACTGAGGGGCTGCAGAATGGAGACCAGAGGCAGAGCTGTGTGTTATATCTGTAATAAAAGTGGTGAGCAATGCTCAGGAGTAAGGGTAAACAAGAGTATTTCAATAGATAAAGGCATAAAAGGGGGAAGGGAAATAAGGAGAACTCAATGCTTTTAAAAATAGGGAAATAAAATGTTCCTGTTATTTTTAACTGGTAGTTTTAAGGATGAATTGTGAGAATAAAAGCAATATGTACATTTGTATTTATGTGCATTTATTAGCTTCTCAATAATTTTGTATAGAATGAAGCCTCTAGCAGGCATTCAATTAACATTGTGCATTAGTAGTTTGTTTCATGTGGGTAGTGTTAGTTGTATGTCCTTATTTTTTCAGGGTTTGCTCTCTGTAACTGTTGCCTTATTTCATTGAAAGACTGAGTGTCCCCCACAAGCAGGTAATGTAGGTCAGTATCAAAAAAACTAGCATTAGGAAAGTTCACTTACAATCCTTCTTATTTCCTAGAAAAACTACAGCAAAATGAGTGGGGTTGTATGTTGTGTGCAAAGGGAACCCCCCCTCCTAAATTCTTTGATGTGAAGGTATTAATGTGCAGAAGGACCCTAAGCTTCTGGAGTCTGCTCCTAAATAGGGCACAGCTCAGAACATCTGAAGGTCTTTGTGACTCAGAGGTGGGAATCTCCTAATGATCTTAGTTATTTTTATACATGCCTGATACCGCACGTTACGCTGCCCTAATGCAGAGAAGCAGCTCCATCATCACCGAGCGAGCACACAAAGCTGTGGTGGAAAACCTGTAGGAAAGAAAGAGGAAGAAGAAAGTAAAACTCAAAAAAAAAAGAAGGTGAAATAGCAAGACACAATATTAACATCAAATAAAGGCAGAAGACAGAAGAAAAAGAGCAAAGGAAAACCAAGTAAAGGTGGTAAAAGGATAATACAAGAAAAGGACTTCGGTGGGGTTTTCCTTTTCTTCCTTCTCCTTTTTGGAATCTCGCTTTGTGGAGGGAAATGGGACAGCAGTTCACCAACGCCGAAGGGGAACAAGGGGAGATTGATGTTGCCGAATTGCAGGAATGGTATAAGAAGTTTGTGGTGGAATGTCCCAGTGGGACTCTCTTCATGCACGAATTCAAGCGGTTCTTTGGGGTCCAGGATAACCGTGAAGCAGCAGAGTACATTGAAAACATGTTCAGAGCTTTTGATAAGAATGGGGTAAGTGGTGAGGAGTTTTTACTAATAATTTGTCTAATAATCCACACTTCCTGTAATTTTGGGGGGTTTTGGTGCAGTTCCCACCCTTGTTTCTGTGCTTTGTGAGACCTGCTAGGGCAGGAGAAGGAACACATGCTCTGGATGGGCTGGAATGGATTCTTCTTCCCATAAATCTGTACACAAACTGAGGACAGAATGTCCCCTTAAGGGACTAAAGATCAATCAAAAGGTTGAAATTTAGGCAGTCGCGTTTTGAGCCAGTATTGTTAAAAGCTCCTGGAATAACCAAGGTTGCTACATGGAAAAAAAAATTTATCTGTTATGATAGAGGGGGAATTATAGTGTGAGAAGTCCTACTCGGGTTTGCTATACATGGGAGGAGTGTATATATACAGTATGAACAGGTGCTGCATAAAAACATATTGATTTTTAGCTGCTTGAAAGTGAAGGAATGCTGAGCCATTCAGACTTTCTGGTTTTGATTCCCTTTGCTGTATTTGTCATCAGACACCCGGGAGAAGTGGGCTTTCTGGTTTAGTAGCAGTTCATGCATACCCGTGTGTTGGTGCAAAAGACAGGATCACAGTAGCCTGTGAGATTTTAGGTACTCAAAAGAAACACAATGTGGTTACCGTCCTCATCTGGAGAGGGGTGAGCAATGCTGTCCACACTAGTTAATTGTTTTTTTCCTGAAGGTATTGAACATATTCAGAGTGTGGGGTTGTTTGGTGCTCTGTATCGACAGAAGAAAAGGGGGGACAAGTCTGTCACCTCTCAGAGAGACAAATGTCCCTTAAGCTGCCTTTGAAACCAGTGGTGGTTGAGGTGGTAACAAAAGTCAGTTTGTGACAGAGGATAAAAAAGCTACAGAAGGTGGGGGCAGATTGATTTGTGTCAGGATTTGAAGTTGGAAAAACCCAGGTTCCTGTGAAAAACTGAAGGTCCGGGTATTGAAATTGCTCATTTCTGGGATCCTGGCAGGTGTCCCCTCTTATTGCACTGTTGGAAAACTGCTTTGCTCTCCACTGTCACTCCTTAGAAACTCATCCCTGGTGCAGAGGCTGTGCTCCCTGATGGTCTCAGGCTGGCATGAGTCTCCTATAAAGATGAAAATAGATAGCTGTCCCATGGAATATCTTCTTGGCAGTTTTTTAGCGAGGTTTTGTAAGCTGTTTTCTGTCAACTGCATCCAGCTAAGTGCCATTCAGCTACTTTTTTTTTTTGTTTCTACAGGATAATACCATTGATTTTCTGGAATATGTAGCTGCCTTGAATCTTGTTTTGCGAGGAAAACTGGAACACAAGCTGAGGTGGACATTCAAAGTGTATGACAAGGATGGGAATGGCTGCATAGATAAACCTGAGCTGCTGGAAATTGTTGAGGTAAGTGGGCATTGCCTAATCACTTCTTTAAGCAATCGCAGTTCTTTGGCAATGTAATGATGTATATGGTTTTTGTGATAATGAGGTTTCAAGGCAGCTGTGGGCAGTGATGAAGGAAAATGCCTGCCCTTGGTGGAAAGGTCGTGTGCTCCGTGGTCTGATGGAGCCCGATGGGGTGTTTGAGGGATGGGTCAAACCCACTGTGGGCAGCCTGGCCCCTGCTGAAGCTGTGCAGAAATGAAGCACCCAGGTGCTGTTGTGGAGCTTCTGTGTCTCTGCTCTGCCTTTTCTTTCCACCTTTTTACACCAAAATTCATTGTGGTGGCCGGTGCAAGAAGGTTTCTCCCCACGCTCCTTACAGGAGCTGAATTTCCTGCCCAAGTAGCTGGTGAGAATACACCGAGAGGCACAAATTAGTATAGAAATACCTTTTGTAATTATTCTCTCTGGGTTTCTGTTAAGTTCTGCACTTTAATTAGTGACTGTGTGAGGGTGTGAGAGGAGGTATGGGGCATAGCAGGCACAGGGTGCTGGGGTTCTTTGGGTAAATGTCTTGGGGATTGTGCTGGAGTCACCCCTGCACCACAGGTGGTGTATCTCACCCTTGCACACCAGCACTTGTGAGGCTTAATCAATGGTTATCAAATGCTTCGGGATCCTAGGTGAAGTGTAATGATAGGACAAGGAGAAATGGTTTTAAATTGGAAGAAAAAAGATTCAGATTAGATCTCAGGAAGAAATTTTTTACTCTGAGGGTGGTGAGACACTGGAACAGGTTGCCCAGGGAAGTTGTGGCTGCCCCATCCCTGGAGGGGTTCAAGGCCAGGCTGGATGGGGCCTTGAGCAACCTGCTCTGGTGGGAGGTGTCCCTGCCCAGGGCAGGGGGGTTGGAGCTCGATGATCTTTGAGGTCCCTTCCAACCCAAACCATTCTGTGATTCTAAATGCGATATCAAGAAAACATCAGAAGCTGAATCTGTGGAAAGCAGGTCATTTTGTCTGGAGAGCGTGGCCAGGCGTTACCTGCAGCACCAGGTGTGGGAGCATCTCAGGAGCTTGTCTGGGTCAATTACAGTTTTGAGGTCAGGCAGGAATTGGCCAGAGCTGTGTTAGGCCCTTGCTAATCCCCTTGCTGGGAAGAGTTCAGACAAAACCCTTCAGCCGAAGGAGTAAAGTTAATAATGAATGTGTAGTTGTCACGGGAGGAAGAGATAAAATCTGCCCCTTTCCAGAGACAAAGTGGAACAGAAACTATGGGTCAAAATATGTGCTAATACAGGTTTGCTCTTGCAGTTTGGGCACAAGCTCCCTGGGAGAGAGGGCTGGGTAAATCCAGATGTGCCTGGCCTCAGATGTTAGAAAAAAATCATCCTGAAAAAGTCAGATGATTTTTTTTTCCTGTCTGTGAAACTCTTTCCTTGTTCTTTGCAAAGGAACCCCGAGGTCTGACCAGTGTGTGTAAGGAAAATAGGAGGGCAGCAGCTTCAAAGGGCAAATGAAATGAACCACAGTGTGTGTGAGTGTGAGGTCAGAGGTTTCATTAGAGGTCTGGGGCTGTTGAGTGGCAGATCTTTCTAGAAAGGTTAAAACCGCAGCCTTTGTAAAAGACCTTGACGCTGTTGGGAAGATAATGGAGTTCACTGCTTTTCATTTTCCAGTCCTCCTCCTAATCTGTGAACTTCTTTTCAGTCTATCTACAAGCTGAAGAAAGTGTGTCGGTCGGAGGTGGAGGAGAGGACCCCATTGCTCACACCGGAGGAGGTTGTGGACAGGATATTTCAGTTGGTGGATGAGAACGGGGATGGTAAGAGATCGGTGGCTCAGATTGCATTCATGGGTAATGAGAAGTTATCCGTGCTGGACAGGCGAGCTTTAATTATGTATATCAATAAACCACTTAGGACTATTATGTTACTCATATCGGACACATTGGGTTTGGTTCTGGTCTGTTTATTAGACTCGAGAATAACTTGGTGCAGCAGGAGGAAATAGTCTTCATTGTTATTCTCATGTAAAACACACAGGAGTCACTATTCTGTCTGGATTTTGATGCCACACAGATCTCATCCTCTGAAAGCCCCCAGTAGCCAGAGTGTGGGTCCCAATCCCAGCACAAATAGCCCAAGTAAAGACAGTGGCTTCAGTCACACTGGAGTTTGCAGGGTCAGACTAGATCCTCGTGCAGGAGCGTGTGTCACTAGTGCAGCACATTGTGCAAGCTGTGGGATGGGGCCAGTGTGAATGTGCTGGGTTACAGCGTGGGGGTTTCTCTTGGCTAACTGGCCCAAACTGTACAGGGAAATGACACAGAGCTTTTGTCTTATAGGCATGTTTTTCTGAAATTTAGATAGCTTTTACTCCTGCCTTCCTCTTCTTACGTCTTATCTGTCATGTCTTGTCTCCCCATCTTGTGCCCCCCTCATCTCGCACACAGGGCAGCTGTCTCTTGACGAGTTCATTGATGGGGCCAGGAAGGACAAGTGGGTGATGAAGATGTTGCAAATGGATGTAAACCCTGGGGGATGGATCTCTGAGCAGAGGAGAAAGAGTGCTTTGTTCTGAGAGAATCCAGATACAGCTGAAAATGTGACGCTGGCTGCAGCTGTGGCTCTCGCACTCCAGGCTGGTAGTGGCTTTCCTTCTCATACAGTCTCAGCATCCAGATGAAAACATCAGTGGTTTAAGAAGCCATATCTCAATCTAAACCCCATGTGCTGTGTACTGCTGGTACCCAGAGACTATTTTTGGCCCATGAATAAGTCTTTCTGTGTACACAATGCCGTGTTTGCCAGCTCTGGTTTTTGGTTACACCTCAAGGAACAAACTTTTCGTGGCTTCCTGCAGCAGATCCTGGGCAGGGTTTCATTCTGATGACAGATGGGGTTGGGAAGTGAGAAGTCCTGACGCAGTGGTGCTGTCTCCAGCACAGACCAGTGTTTGCATCATTGGTACCTGCAGAGATACAAACACATCGAACCAAAACGGCCAACCAAGGAGGTGCTCTGGCAGCTTTATGCATTCAAGGTGTCTGTTATGCACAGTAATATCGATGCATATTTAGATTATAGTGCTAATGTATGATTATTGAACACCAACATATCACTTTCAAATACGAGAACTGGATTATAAGGGGTGGGCAAGACAGTACAGAGAGTTGAGGAAAATACGAGGTGTGTGCTGGGCAGGTGGGGTGATCCTTCCACCTCCCTCCTGTGGACCAGACACAGCTCCTTGCACCTCCTCAGAGACCTGGGCTGCTGTGGGGCTGGAAAAACACTATTTCCAAACCTTGAGCAGTAGAAATGGTGACTCTTTACATTTAGAGGGCAGATTTGCACAAGTGTGATGCTGCTCCTTTTGAGCCCCTGTTTCTTACTGAGTCATCACTCTGGAACAGCTTTTCCTGCCCCTTTGAAGACTGAACAAGCTCCAGGGCTTTCTCTGCATGGGGAGAAGTTTTGTGTGGAAGGAGAGAGGAGGGAAGAGCAGGGTTTTGCTGGGCAGGGTCTCTGCAGTGAGAGGATCAGCACTGCTTTACTGGCAGGACCACAGGATGGAACAGGAAGTGACAGGAAAATCCAAGTGAGTTACTGGATTAGTACAGTGGTTTTACACTGGACTTAATTAGCCACAGACTACAGATACAATTTGCAGAGGTTGTAGGCTGAGCTCTGCTATTCTTATGGCCAGCCCACATACCTGCATGTGTATGTGGGAAGAGAATTTGAGTTGAACCAAAATTTTTGTTCACCTTTATTTGATTTATTGGATTATTTTCAAGAAAAATTTCCCCAGGAAAATAACATGAGGTTTGGTCTGTTTTATTTTAATTTTCCCATTAAATCAGTGGGCCAAGTCACATCCATGGAAAGGTTTGCAATCCCTTTTTTGTGGCCTTTAATTATGACTGAAGTATCTTTCATTAGCTGATTAGTTTACTGGTTTGCAGTCCTGTCAATTGTTTAAATTCAGGACTATGAGGAAATAGTCAGGATATGACACAATATGTGCTGGAGTTCAAAACCATATATATTTCCACTTCTAAATAGCCTTTCTAAGAGTTCTCTGTAAATACACAGTAGCTTGTGGTGCACTTGCTTATCAGAGCAGATTAGACTCCTAGTTTATGCTGCTGCAAGGCAGCTGTTTAAAGCTCATTCAAGCCAATAGTTTATCAGCCCAAGATCTGAAAGAAAAATCTCACTTCTGACTTGAGGGCCTGGAAGAGAAGATCCACTTCACTGATTTTTCCAACTTGTGGACAAACATTTTCACGATAGGATACGAGTCTCTAATTCCTTAAATTGCAGCAACTCAACCAACAAAACACACTTTACTTCTGCTTCTGGCACAAATGAAGTGCACGTTTACTTACTCTAGTTGCATGCTAACAAAGCAGAAAAAAAAAAAAAAACATTGGGAATTTCCCTTCTCTTTGCCATCACGGACACTGGGGATAGTGCCAAATCCTGAGTTTGGAAAAGCTGACTTACATCCAAAGGTCAATCTTAGACCAAGACTTTGGAACTGTGCCGATTTTTTAAAAATCTTCACACACAGAGAAAATGTAATTCTGCATTTTTCTTGGAAAGTTTGCCTTGTAAGATGAATGTTTCAGGCTTCATTAATCACCGGAGTGTGGCCGCTCAGAGGTAACATTTAGCAGGGGGTTTGTCAGCACATAATAAAAATCTTTCGGGCAATAAGCAAAAGACAAGAGGTGACCCTGGAAGGGTAGCGGGGTTGCTTTGTGGGATGGCACTGCAGTGGTGGATCTTAGATGGGTTTGGTTTCTCCTGCCTGACCGTTTTTGATAGGGAAACTGGGGAATGCTGCTCCTGCAGCACTACACCTTCTGCCATGGTGTTATTCCTGCCGTATGAAGATGTGCAGCAGCACGGGCAGCGCGGTGAGCGACTGGGAAGAGATGCAGAGAGACTGAACGCCCAGGTGGAGCATGAGGGATCTTTGATCTCTCCTCAGATGGGTCAGCACAAAAGCTGCCCTTCATCCTCCCTGCATTCCTCCAGTCCACATGTCCGTCCTGCCTGGCGACGACGGGGAAAATTTAAGGATGCTTCAGGTTTGCTTTCCTTTGCCTGATGCTCGGGCAGCTGGGGAAGCAGACACGGCTGGTGATGCTGAGCTCTCCTGTCCCCTGCAGGGACACTCTGGGGTGCCCAACCCACCGGAGGGGTGTTAGGGCAGGTCAGGACTGAGTTATTTAAAATAATGGAGCAATGTGGCAAAAGGAAGAGGCGAGGGCTGCTCTGGTGTGGGAGAAGGATCTGGTCCTGCCTTTGGTTTCTCTGAGGCTGGTCCCCTCGCAGCGGGCAGCGGTCCCTGCCTGCACCCTGCAGCCTCCCTGCCTGCACCCAGCAGTAACCCAGATGCCAAAGAAATGAGTCTTCCCAGGCCTCTGCAGCGTTTGTTGGGTTTGTTTTTTTATTTTTTTCTTCCTTGAGTTTCTACCAGCCTCTGCTGGAGCATGTGGCAGCACGTCGTGTTGTGAACCGACGGGAAATAAGCTGCCTTTTTCCATGCTCTTGGCTGGGAAACTCTGCAGCTTTTGAGCTGTATAGGTGATAATCTAGGGATGGCTCATTAGGCAGGACTTGTCATCAGATGTTACCCGTTTGCAATTCATCATCCAAAGTGTTCACTCTGACATAATACATAGAGCACTGATCCTAACCCTTCAGGCAGCCAAATAGCACCAACATCTTTAGTTTTTTCTAGAAATCATTCTTTTATTTTCAGTTCTCTCTGGTTATATTTACCTCTACCTGCATCTTTTTTCCAAACCAAACGAAGAAACCCTTTGGCTGATGAACTGTACTTCCTAAGGTGATGTTCTGCTGGCTGAGAGGCAGCAGCTCTGTCGGTACAGTCTGCAGAGCACAGGCTTTGGACAGAGAGTATAGGCAGAGGAAATTTTCATGAAATTTAATTTATTTCAGTGCCAAATTAACATCAGTACTTTTATCACCACAATTGCACGTCCTGATACCTGCAGTAGCACCAGCAAAGGCTTCCTAACCCCGGTCTCCTGCAGCCCTTGGTTCCAGCGAGAAAAGATTGTAGTCATCAAAACAAAGGGGAACCATTTTCTCTCCTGGGAACAGATCACTAAGTTCCCATAAGGCAAAACAAAATTATGCAACGAGGCAAAAGAGAACGTCCTGGGCATGTGGAGTCTTGCTGGCTGCTCTCGGCGCTCGCATTCCACAGCAGCACGAAATGGAGAAAGGCCTCGCACCCGCGCGTGCAAAACCCCCAGCTCTGCGGCAGGAAAAAGTGCACTGAGCACCCCCCACCCCACCCCAAAACCACCTCTGCTTCTCAAAAACTGCTTGCGACCCACAGAACCCTCGCCAGATACTAGCCAGGACAATTCGAGAAATATCATTGAGGGGAGCAAGCTGTTTCTTTTCATGGTATGCATGGCAGAGCATGGGGAAATGGAGAATGCAACAGAACTGTTTTATAAAGTGACTGTGGCTGCTAAAGACTTCCTTCAAGTAGCACCAGTTAAGAGGCAAGTGCTGGGGATAGACCCAGTATAACATTTTTCAATGACCAGACCTCAAACTACTCCACTGAAGACAAGTGACCTTATAGTCAGGGGCTGAACTTCATCCAAAGCATTTATAAGAGGAAGGATTGAGTTTTTTAATCCTGTTGCATTCTTCTAGGCACAAAGAGAAACAAGCAAGATTCCTCTACATTATTAGATAAAAATATACCTTTTCAGTGAAATAGAGCTGTCTTGGCCTTTCTGGCAACGCCTCTGGTCCTTTCCATCCATCTCCAGACTGCTGCTGTACTGCTCAGCTCCTCTCTTGCTTAAGACTCCCAAGTGAAACCATACATGGTCTCAGTATCCTTCTGTACAGAAGCATAAAATTATGCTATACTTCTGCAATTTTATTTAGATACACTTATATACACACACACACACTCCCACTGATAGGTTACTTATGGGTGTGAGTAAATTCAGAACAAGCCCTGTTCTAATAGCGGAATATGAATTTCTTTGCTGTGCTACCATATAAAATTTTAGACTGAATCCCAAGAGTTTGGTTTTTTTTTTAAGTGTGAGAAGCTGTTCTTTCCAGACTAAATTAAAAAAGTTCCAAAACAGTGAACAGCTTAAACTCTTCAGGGCCTTAGCACTACTATAATGAGGACTCTCTTGTTCCCTATCAATGCTGCTCCAATCCTCTTAAAAGAAGAATCCCAACTGGATATTAGGCTGGCTCAGACACTTTTATAGCTACAGGTCATTTCTTTGCAGCTGACACAGCTCATGGTTGGATTCAGAACACCTGGTATGATAGGGATAAAAACTGGTGGCTGCAGTGAGCAGAGGAAAGAGGGGCAGGAGGGTCTTGGTCCTGGGCAGGAGGTGGCTGCGGGCAGAAGAGTTTACTCTGGTAGGAGGAGGAGGTGGGTGAGACCTCTCTGCTGCACTGAGGGGCTGCAGAATGGAGACCAGAGGCAGAGCTGTGTGTTATATCTGTAATAAAAGTGGTGAGCAATGCTCAGGTGTAAGGGTAAACAAGAGTATTTCAATAGATAAAGGCACAAAAGGGGGAAAGGAAATAAGGAGAACTCAATGCTTAAAAAATAGGGAAATAAAATGTTCCTGTTACTTTTAACTGAGAGTTTTAAGGATGAATTGT